AATTAAATTTTTATACAATCATGGTGTAAAATGTTTTACTATAATAACACTTTAAAAATAATTACAGATAATTGTTCATAATAAAATGAAACTTTTTTTTGGTTAAATAATAAATGAAACTAAATACCAGAAAAGTAACACGCAAGTAATTGCTTGGTACAACAAATTAAATTATAATGTTATCTTAAAATTTATTTATGTGGAGAAGTTTGTTTTACCGCTTTGGATTTTGGAGTCCTTTTGGTTGCAGCTTCAAAGATAAATGAGCCATCAAATAGAGCAAGAAAGATTTTAAGGACGCATCTGAAAAAACTTTATGATTTTGGGTGTGTTTGATAAGAAGGAAAATATTTTCCGTTGGAAAACAAGTCGTAATATATTCATTTTTTGGTGTTTGGTGTGCAAATTAAGGAAAATAACTTTTCAAGAGTATTCATAAATAATTTAGATACAATAAATATGAAGCCATAAACTTTCGAACCAACAACCTTCTGAACCCACAAATTTCATAAACTTCAAAACCGCTAAACTTTTGAAACCGCGAACTTTCGAACCCGTAAACTTTATAATTTCTAAACTNAGGTGGGTGGGGACCGAAAACAAAATTGAAATTTGAAAAAAAAAACATTTTGGAAAGAGGGGTGGGGTGGGTTGGTGAGGATGAGGAATAAGGTAGGGAAGGTTGGAAAGGAATTTTGAAAAATATTTTCATTCTCAGATAAGGAAAATATTTTCCTCCAATTGGAGAAAAATGAGTTCATAAGAAAAATATTTTCCAAACATTTAAGCCAATCAAATATAACAAAATTAGAAAATATTTTTTGAGAAATATTTTCCTTTGTACCAAACACACCCTTATCAATTGCATGTAATTTGGTTCTGTTTTGTGACAAAGATAACAAATGCAATAATTAGAAATGCAAAAACAACAGAACGAGTTGTTTCTTGGATTAAAACAACCCTTCTTAACCTGGTCTAAAAGTAGATTTCCATCTTCAAAAACAACTTTGTTTTTCACAAAACTCCGGAAAATTATTCAAAAATTCCTTCATAAGATAATAAACCTTTTCCGTAAAACTCTCCTAAGCCCACATACAGTATTTTTTTGCTTATTCTTTTTTTTTTTTTTGGCAATATGCACAAATATCCTTCTCGACATTACGTAGCCTTTTTGAAATAGCTTTCATTTTCAAATTCTCAATTTTGTTTTCTAAATTGCTCTTGACATTGGTTTTCTCGTACAACACTGACAATCTCGTCTAGCGTACGGAGGGAACCTCAGTTGACGGATAGTAACTGCAGTAATATCAGTCGCTTAGCCTTACGTTGTCTTTTTAAGGAATTTCAAGGAGGCGCCGCGTAATAGTGTTTGAAATTTTTAGTTATCAATATATTTTGACACGTTGTACAATGTCACATGCCTCATTGTTTATGTCTAATTCTACTTATTACTAATAATTCCGTGTAATTATCTCTAGCATGATCCAATACTGTAATATTTTTTTTTTTACACAAGTCAATGTTTAAAAGTTAAGCTCGTAATAATGTAAAGAAAGGGGAAATTTCTTTCAAAATAACAGCAATACAAGCATTAGTCAAAATCCAAACCATTCAAAAACCATCAAATCCTTGAAGCATTATCTTGACAGCCCATTGTTTGGATACTATTCGAAATTAAAAACACATGCGCTCAAATTTTATCCATTCAAATGTTATTGTATAGGTCTTCGACGAGTCAAATAAAAATAACGAAAGATCAAGGAAGCAATCAAAATTGACTGACAACTAAGATTATGGGAACTTAGACACCATAAACCAGCAAAATTCACACGTTTAATTACTTTTCACGGAATTTTCCCTTTTCCGCCTTCTCTTTTTGCCAAAATTTCTTTGGTTAATTACTTTTAATATATCTGTCATAATTCGAAAGAAAGTTCCTAGAATTTTTGACGTTATAGTTACTGTCCTCCTTAACATTCATTTACCAACGATATTACTTAAGTACCTTTCGTTTAATGGGTAAGCCGTTTCAATCCGCTTGATTTTCCCCCCAATTGCTCACAAATTTACCGTCCCAAATATCACACAGAAAATAGAAGGGTAAAAACTTACCCGCAACGATGTTTATACCAAACCAATAGATACATGGCATGTGTCTTGCATATGGACTTTAATCATATAACCATGGTAAATTATATGTACTCATCTAATTAAATTAATTAACCATGGTGTGCATTTCACTAAAGGGTCTTTTGGTATGAGGTATAGGAAGGTATAAGGGTGGTATAAAAATTTAATACCACCTTAATACTCTATTTGATTAGCAAACCAGGTACACGTTATCTCAGTGTTAATTTTAACACCGGGATAACTTATACCTTATAGAAGGTGGGATAATTAGCATTGATATAACTTATACATTCTTCTTAGAAATTATGCAATTGTCATTTTTAATAAAACATACCAAACAATGAATAAACAACAATCTCAGCATAACTAATCTCAGCATAACTTATCCCAATATAACTTATACCGACATAACTTATACCGGTATAAATCGTATTCCAACCAAACGACTGTTGGTAAAATGTAATTGTAAAATAATTCTGGAAAATATAAATGAACATAAACAGAAACGAAAAACAGAAACAGAATTTTAGTCCGAGCCCACTGAATTCACAGTGTTTCCTTAAGGAATTTAATCCCCTCCTAATACCCAAGGTTGTGGATTATTTTCTCTCAGGATAGAACGAATTACACACTGGTGTAGTGGTACTTCAAACCTCAGTGTTTCAGCGAACACAAAGTTCGGTAGCAAATCACACTTACTGTTGCTTTGTTTGATGTTAAAAGTATGTAGAAGAAGGAGGAAAAACTCAGAAAATCGTATGGAAATTCTGAGCAGAATAGTCTTGTATTTATAGCCAAAGTTGGGTTGAAATCTGAAGAGGTGCAACTCTTTAGAATGGTTGTTTATGCAAAACGGCCACAACATAAATGTCATAACATAAATGGCTATTTACTCAACAATAAAAAGGTAAAATTGAAGAGGGTAGTTTAATTTTCAGTTACACAACTGAAAAACGGATTGGATTTAATATTAAAACCGAAGCCGAGCCGAGCGACGACGACGGCGCGAGGCTTGCTTTCTTCTCAACTCTTTAAGAGCTAGAATAAGAGCAATTGCTTATATACCCATAAAAACCTCTTCCTCTTCTAATATGGGACAATGTCTCTTTGCCAAGGGGGAAAACTTAAAATTTTTATTTTCCTCCATTTCCTATTCACCTTATTTTAAACCTATCATATACTTAAAATCCCAACAACGACCCCTAAAGTCTCAAATTTCAATTGCTCGAATAACATTTTCCTATCGATTCACAGGATACATTCCACCACAAATTTAAGGCATAATCCAAAATATCCAAAAATATCCAACAAATGGTTCCTTGTCCGTGGTATCACTTTAGCACATCAACTCAACCAGGAAGCTTCGTTTAATTTGAACAATTCAAACTTCCGTATTTTTAGACCTTAAAGTTAAGACAACTCCACTATATATGCAACAACCAAACCCAACATTTCCAACAAAGTAACACTCGTATTTCAAAAAAAAAAAAAAAAAAAAAAAAAAAGTAAGCAGTGTATTGAAAAAAGGCGATGCCTGGGGCAGAGCTATTCAATCAATTGCCAGAAGATATCATTTCTTCAATTCTGTCTCTTACTTCACCTAAGGATACATTTAGCTTCTCTCTTGTTTCTTCCTCTCTCCGTTCAGTGGCAGCATCTGATTTTCTGTGGCAAACATTCTTGCCTTCCGATTACAAGCATATTATTGAAAAATCTGTCACACCATTGAAGTATTCTACTAAAAAAGAGCTTTTTATTCGTCTCTGTAACTCCATTCTTATTGATGGTGGAAACAAGGTATGTATACTGTAACACAAATGCTATAGCCTCATCATTTTTGTAAAGCTTCAGTTTGATAGTTGATTTTAAAATTGGTTCTATGATCCAATTGCAGAGCTTTGCATTAGAGAAATCAAGTGGAAAAAAATCATATGTTATCTCAGCAGAAGAACTGTCCATTTTATATGGGGAAGAACCAGATCATTGGACTTGGAAATCCGTACCAGATTCAAGGTTTTCAAAAGTGGCTGAACTGAAAGTAATATGCAGACTAGAAATCAAAGCCAACCTAAAAACAAACATACTATCTCCAAACACAAAGTATGGAGTTTATTTCATTATGAAAATCTCTGATCAGGCATTTGGTCTGAATTCAGTGGCTGCTGAGATTAGTGTAGAAATTGGCAATCGGAAAGAAGATCAAAATTGTGTGCTGGACTCGATGGGAATGACAAATTTTGAAGAGAAACAGAGGGATCAAAGACTGCCATATAAAAGGGAAGATGGATGGATGGAAATTGAGGTTGGAGAGTTCTATAATGGTGGAAATGAGGAGGAAGTTACAGTAAGTTTGATGGAGGTGAAGGGTTGCCATGTTAAGGGTGGACTAATCATTGAAGGCATTGGATTTAGGCCTAAACACTAAGGAAAATTCAAAGATTCTTATCTACTCACTCACTTTTCACAATAATATTATAAATTTATTGATTTATTTATCTCGTCCATGTCAAAGATTGGTGTGAAACAAACAACAACAATCCAGTTTAAATCCCACAAGTGGGGTCTGGGAAGGGTAATATGTACGCGGACCTTATCTGGGGTGTGGTGTGAAACAAAAAAGGTTCGATAATGAAAGATTAGACTATATGATGAAGCATCCAAATGAGTCAAAAAAACTAACCTGACATGTCAAATTCAACGTAAACTCGAGCATAAAATAATTTTGAGATTGGAGATTATATCAGTTTGATAGAATTTGGAAACTATATAAATTTGAAGATTGAGAAATTATGTCAATTCGTAAGAATTATATCAAAACGCAAAACATAATAAAGGAAGATATATTGGGTGGATTGGGTTATGATATGTTATTGAGCAAACTTCATTTATAGCTCATCGACCCAAACATATTTCATCCGGTAGCCCAAAAACTGCAACATACATTTTATAGCCCAAAAATAATTTTAGTGGCTAGCCCAAAAGTACTGAGGCTCAGATGTAAAGACAGATCACGGAAAAGAGCGGCGACCACGCTATGGCTACAAAATCACTGATTGCATCCAATTCTCAAACGGCTGGAAAATAGCGTCCAAGTTTGGGTTAGTTGGTGGCATACCGGAGCGTAGAGTTCGACCCATCTGGGATGCCATTGATTCTCGCCAGTTCAAAAATGCTCTCAAGCACTGCACCCCTCTCCTCTCCAAATACCCCAATTCCCCTTATGCTCTGGCACTTAAAGCTTTGGTTTCGGAAAGGATAGGTAAAGCGGAAGAAGCATTTTCCTTAACTAAGAAATTCACATATCTATGTTAGAGATAATTTACAGATAAGTCTTTTATTAGTAGGGTGAAGGAGAGAAATGGTGAATGCTCTGAGTTTACTGAAAGATTCAACTATTACTGCTATTATTATATATATGTTGTCCATCCAAATAATTATAAAGATAACTTCATGCCAAAATCAAGTGTTATTTTCAGCCTCTCATTGTGGCAGTTAGAAGTTGGTAAACTTTAGTGGAAAGTCCTGTTTTTCTTGTGATAGCTTAGTAGGATTAGGCACTAAATCCTTACTTATTTCGCCCCTCTCTGAATTAGACTGTTAATGTATAAAATATATACTAAATAGACTGTTACTATACAAAAATTACACAAAATAAACTGTCACTATACAAAATAAACTGTCAATATACCAAAAATATACAATGCAGACTGTCATTATACAATTTATATACAAATAGAGCGTCACTATACAAAAATAGAATGTCATTATACAAAAAATATACTAAATAACTGTCATTATACAAAATATGTACAAAATAGACTGTCACTATATAAAAATATATTAAATAGACTGTCATTTTACAATTTATATATAATTAGCTCTCACTATACAAAATAGACTGTCACTATACAAAAAATATACAAAAATAGACATTTCGTATATGACCTGCATTACATATTTCATTCAAATAAACTGTCACTATACAAAAAATATACAAAAATAGACATTTCGTATATGACCTGCATTACATATTTCATTCAAATAAACTGTCACTATACAAAATAAACTGTCAATATACAAAAAATATACAATGCAGACTGTCATTATACAATTTATATACAAATAGAGCGTCACTATACAAAAATAGAATGTCATTATACAAAAAATATACTAAATAACTGTCATTATACAAAATATGTACAAAATAGACTGTCACTATATAAAAATATATTAAATAGACTGTCATTTTACAATTTATATATAATTAGCTCTCACTATACAAAATAGACTGTCACTATACAAAAAATATACAAAAATAGACATTTCGTATATGACCTGCATTACATATTTCATTCAATTGTTAGCTAATACTTATTAGATCCAGAAGTACATTTAGAAAGGCAAAAAAGGGTTGCTATGTCACGCCAAGTGAGGGTCGAACCTGCGACCTTTAGCTTAGGAAACAGGTGCTCTAACCACTGAGCTAGAAGCACTTGTGTTGTCATGCTTATTCCTTTCGGCTACTATATGCAATACGTTTGGACCGAAGGGCCTTTTTTGTAAGTAGGACAAAACATAGACTATTAAAATTGTGAGGGGCTATAGAGGGTAGTTTTCTCTATGTTATTTGACTTATTTTAATCCAACTTATATAGGCCCAAGGAAACTTTTGGCCCTCTAACTTTGAAGAAGAATGTTAGATAAATCACCATAGTTTAGAGCCTAATTATAACAAATGAATATATAAAATATTCTTGTTGAGAGTCAAACTCAAAACCCCTGCTAACTAAGCGGACGCTCTAACAAACTAAGCAACAAGAGCTTGTTACTCTCTTGTTTCAGTTCAAAACAATTAATCTCTTATTTTATGAATTTGCTATAAAATTTAAATATAGCTATGAATAATAATACAATATAGATGTATCGTATATCAAAAGCGACTGCTAGATAATTCAAAAGTAGTATTCCCTTTCTCTCTATTAAGGCATTTCATTCAATTTAAATCTTTTTTATTTAATTTTTGCTTAAACACGACATTTACTGTATAAGTTTAATCATCATATTTATTACATGGTAAAGGGACTTGTTCGTAAAATTTATCAAAATTTTATGAACAAGTCCCGTCCCGTCCCGCGTCCCGTCTCGTCCCATTTCATTTTAAATGGGATAGGCCAATGTTAAACAGGACACTGGATGAGATGATTTCGTCCCGTTTCGTCCCGTCCCGCGAGTTTTTATGGAATATTTGTGGAATTTTTGTTGTATTTGGTATGTATAAAACAAATTCAACTTATGCACCGGCCATTAATGAAATGATTGCAAAATTTAAAAAGTATTTTTTCTCTATTCCCCAAGTTTATTTAATTTCTACAATACTTAACCTATATTTAAAATTAAGAGGTGCAAAGGGGGTTCGTAAAATTTATCAAAATTTAGCAATTCAATAAAATGAACAACCATCTCTCGAAGACTTCCAAGCTAACATATATTCTTGTGCTAGAATCTAGATCAATGTTTGATAATTATAAATCTATGAAAACAATAGGTGGTGAAACTGTTCCTTCTACTTCTAAGTTTAGAGTAGAACTTCTATAGGAAGATATGAATTATATAACATATTCTGATTCCTCTATTGATGATGAACTTGATTCTTAGCATTGGAGAATGCTTTTAGCGCATTAATATTTCAAATCGGAGATCATAGAGGCCTAATTCAAACAGAAACCTTCCTAGAAGGTGGTTGCGTAGATTAGGTACTCTTCAAAAGAATTATATTTGAATGTGAGATTTTAAAGTTTTATTAATAAAATAACATGCTCTAAGCATTGAATTTTTTTTTTATGAATTGTCTTAGTTACTTAATACTTTGAAATTATATTAAATAAATTATAACTCTATTATAAATTTACAATTACTAGAATATTTCATTACAAGTCTATTGTTTTAATATTTTATAATTCTTTACTTAGTTTTCTAATTTCCGTTTTAATATTTAAGTTTATTAAATAAGTCAAAAAACTAGCCATTGCGAACTTTAAAAACTTAGTCATTTTAAAAAAACTAGACGTTTTTTTTTTATAAAAAAACTACACTTTAAGGCCCGCGAACCCGTCTCGTCCCGTCCCGTCCCGTTCCGTCCCTTGCCGTTTGCTAGCGGGACGGGATGGGCCGAACGTTTCGTCCCGTTTGTCCCGTCCCGTTTCATCCCATCCTGCCGTCGTCCCGCTTAAATGTCATCCCGTCCTATCTCATCCCATTAATTTGATTCCGGCCCGTCCCATTGGACAACCATAGTCTAGATCGACAATTGGGTAGCCCAGTATACAGTCCACATTTTTTAATAACAATGGTCGAACTATGACCCCAATCTTAATATACGAGCAAAATGAATTGAAATAGAAAACAGAAAGAAAAGAGAGGAATCAGAAATAAATGAAGAGATAAAAGACACCAAGGACGGAAACAAGAATAAAAGAGGAGAAATACCTAAAAGGCCAACAAGCCTGTATGGACCTCCGGCGTCTCTGATTTAGACCAAAATTAGTATTATCCGCATGCTCTCCTCGAGAATGAACGGACCATACTATTTTCAGTCCAAATCGTTCTTGAAAATCTGGGAAAATTCTCTTTTCTTCTTCTCTCTTTTTAGATCTAAAACTGACTGGATTCAATGAGGGTTTTGTAGATATTTGTACCATCATAGTACTTGAAGGATTATGGGGAGTATAGGGTTGATTTTTGGTGGTGTTTGGGAAGTCAATCGCTTGTGAAAATGGTAGAATTCCTAAGGCTATACTAGGGTTGAAGACTGATAGAGATGAGAACAGTACAGGGGTGCTTGGGTGGACTGAATATTCTCTGAAGTTTTGGACATTATTAAGGGTTTGAAAAGATATGTTTTGGACCGTTTGATGCATTAAAATGAACGGCCCAGATCTGCCGAGCTCAAACGACATCGTTTGGTTATAAGGCGGAATTGGGTCGGGTATTGGGTGGACTGGGCTGGATTTTAAACGGGTAAAAGGGAATCGAGCTGGGCTTAAAAGCTTTGAACATGACTTGGCCCAGATCTGATTTTTATTCCTTTGCTTTTCATTTTTCCAAATTTCTTTCTTTGCTCTTAATTCTTTTTCTTCCTTTTTCAAGATTAAATCTAAATCTATTAAATCCTAAAACCTAATTAACCTATCAAAAATACTAATTAAACCCGAATAACAATTACCTCAATTAAAGAAAATAAATTAAAAGAAAACTACTCAAAATTCAAAATTAAAAGTAAAAGTGCAAGTTAAACTATTTTTTTGTGATTTTTTTTTATAAATTAATTAATTAATTAATCCTAAAATTTTAAATTAAATCCTAAATGCAAATGCACATATTTTTTTGTATTTTTCATTAATCAAATAAAGTAAACATGTACAGACAATATGCAAGCAATAACAGAAAATGCCACAAAAATCCACAAAATTGCAAATAATGAAAGAAATTATTTTGTTTTGAATTTGTGGGAGTAATTCATATAGGGCAAAAATCACGTGCTCACATTAATTGTTGTTCTAGTTTTCAATATCGTTACTCATCTTTGAACAGTATATAGAAGTTATCTTACTTAACGGGTCAAATCTTAAGTATACAAGTTGAACTATAAAATTAGGCCCATGTATTTTTCTGAGGTCAAGTTATGCACATACAGGAAACCACTCACTGTCTCATTCCGATCATGTCCTCATATGTTAAATTCATGTCGTCATCCATAGGAAATTTGTACCTATTTTTGTCCTTATTATATTACTCCGTTCCTAACATTTCCCTCTTTATATATAAGTCATTTCTAAGTATCTTATGACATTCTTATAATATATCCAGTCATGGCAATCGATGAAAGTGAGATAATGAAGCTCGACCTGTTGCCAGAAGATTGTATCGTTCAAGTCCTCTCATTCACTTCTCCTCATGATGCTTGTCACGCGTCGTTGGTCTCGACTATGGTTCGTGATGCAGCCATATCAGACTTGTTATGGGAGAAATTCTTGCCATCTGATTATCGACAAATCATCTCAAGATTAGTATTACCAATTAATTTTGCATCAAAGAAAGAGTTGTTTCTCAAGCTCTTTAACCCTCTTCTCATCGATGGTGGTCGCAAGGTACGTACGTCTGCTTTGCTTATAATCCTGGTGTAAATTAACAAGAATAGAGAGATTGATAAATATTTTTTTTGGAGAGGCCAAAAGGAGAAGAAAAATATTGTTATACTCCGACATTATTATTGGTGATTTAATCCACAATATGAATACTGATGATAAAGAACTCTTGCATCTTCTCATTTTCCTTTCTATAACATTATTGCAGACCTTTTCAATTGATAGAATATCATGTAAAAAATGTTATATATTGAGTGCAAGGGAGCTATCAATTGCTTGGTCCACCAATCCCCTCTACTGGTGCTGGAAACCCCTCCTTCGTTCAAGGTCGTCGCTTTCTCCTTTCCTTTTCTTTTCTTAAGAAGAAATTTTGAACTAAATATTTTTTTAGCAGATTACTAAGATCGTTACGCTACCTGTTTCATTTAGTCCTTAATATAATGCCTATTTAACCTCAAATTTTATTTTTACATCAATGATAAATAAAGTCAAAATTTTATTTTTCTATAGAAACTATGCAGAAGTAACTATAAGTCAATTTTTGCATTTAAAAAAATGATAATATGGTATCAGTGGTGAATACAATGTTTATTAGTCCGGAGAGTTTGGAATAATTACTTAGTGTTTCGAGGTCAAACTCTATATATGTGTGCGAATATATATATATATATAGTTAGAATCCACGAAATTTAAATTTGGATACATCTGCAGGTGCAGGATATCCTTCAAAATCTAAGTCAAAAAATGTTTTTATGTGTTCCCAACAGATTTCCAGAAGGTGTTGAGCTTATAATGGTATGTTGGCTAGAAATTAAAGGAACGATAAACACTCGAATGTTGTCTCCACGTACAACATATGGAGCTTACCTCATTGTCAACCTGGCTGGTCGTGCTTTCGGCTTAGAGTCCTTGCCATCTGAGGTATCTGTAAAAGTAGGAGGAGACCAAGAATCCAAAGGAATTGTATATCTACGTCGTAACTATGCTAACAGTAGAAAGCAAGAACTGGAAAGGGTTATAATGAGACACAGGGTTGAGACATTGAGATCAAGAGTTGATAATAGAGGAGGGAAAGAGCGTGCTTTAACTGATAGAGAAGATGGATGGTTGGAGATTGAATTAGGTGAATTTTACAGTGATGGAGTCAATGATAAAGAAGTGACAATGTGCCTTAGAGAAGTCAAAGGTGAGCATCTCAAAGGAGGACTTATTGTTGAAGGCATTGAGCTTAGACCAAAGTAATTTATTACTAGTAAAGGATTTTTTTTTTTG